CATTCAAATGCAAGCATGCCAGCAGAGTTTTCTACCAATTTGGCAAATGCCACAATATAACAATCTGCGAATTCTCAGCGCTTGAAGCTTATCCGCTGGCATTCTTAGTACTCAGTACTTTGTACTTCGTACTCAATTATTGTAGTCGCTGGCAGCCATCGAAACCGTCATAGTGTTGACCAAGAAGATATATAGAAGGACTTCTACACGGTCATGGCGACATCTGCATCGCAATGATGCCTGTATGGGGAGCCAAAGAAGATCTACAATGGCAAAGCAACGAAGCGCGACCGATTGCTCTGCACCTTTCCCCTTTCCCTCCCACTCAAAGAGAAGCCCAGGGGCAAGTCATTCTCTTTCCTCCCTGTGCAAAGCCTAGCCACAGCGGTATTCAGGCGCCTACATATAGTTGCCGTGTAGCTCCAGGTGCATTACCCCAATGCCTACTAAGTTACTATAGAAGTTACTAGTCAGTTAGCTCTTTAATCATGCAGGAAAAGGTGATGGGAAAAGCCAGAACACCGCCATACCGCTCGTGGACACAGCACACTACGTGGCATTCAGTCGCACATTGCTGCGAACACGCCATAGCTTGGATGTGCTAATGTTTAGGGCTTAGGGTAGGGGCTCTTAAGCCTTTGCACCAAAACGTCCACGAGGTGTCGTAACAATCGTGCTGGCACGAAGTACCTACACATAACATTTAGGTCCGAAGGTGTTGCCACAGGAACCCATCGGGAGCACTATGTGCGTATGTATATATGCATATAGATAAAGACACATACACCTTGAACCTCTAAACCCTGTGTGTATATATATATATTCATATCGCAAAAATGTGCATATATATATATATATGTACATATGTTTACACATCTTATGTATGCCTGGACCCTTTGGATTCCCCTTCCTTGGGCATCCGGCCTGTCGCCCGGCTTCTGTGGCCTTGTCGGAAGCTCTCAGAGTTCTTTAAGAGCTTCTTGCTGGTGGGTGTAGGGTTTTGGGTTAGGTCTTAGGGCATAGCAACCCCAAGATAATCCTGTAGACCTACCTCTTTCCCCTCCCGCAGTCCCCCTTGAGCATCTCGGGGCCGTTATGGAGAACTCTACCACTTCGCGTTAATTGAGTTTGGGGTTTAGGCTGGGGCGCAATGATTCAACCGCCTTTGGGTACCTCAACTCATGTCAAGTTTTGAGGCTTGGACAGTGTACCACATTGAATTTGGGGGCACCTTGCTTAATTCAGGGTTTGGGGATGCCAATGCGGAAGTCTTGAGTTCCAAAACTAAATTTCTCACTTAATACGAGGAATAGCCTAAAAATTCTGGGCTTCTTATGTCCCATTTACTTCGTTCTCTACTAAGATTGAGACTGGCCCCGAAAAGCAAAACTTTCCGGGGCACCGTCTACAAAAGGTCCGCTGGGAGGTCACACCCCTGAACCCTAAGTGCTGAACCCAAATTCCCAAACCCCTGGTTTCAGGCTTCGAGATCCCTGGCCAGGAAAGGGACCCATATTTCTGAGAAGGCCCTCATATGAGACATAGTCTAGACTAGACTCCTTCAAGGGAGGTTGTATAGGGGACTGTATAGGGAGTATTATAGGCCTTATGAGGGGGAAACTAGGAGTTCAGGCTATAAATCATATGGGCATTTCCAAAAATTGCTTAGCAGTCCCTATAACAGGGATTATGGCGCGCATTAGGGCCTATACTAGGGGCCCCTTATTTACGAACCCCCTATCTACTTCTTGGGATGTATAGGTCTGTCGAGATTGAAAGCTTGCTTCTTGGGATCTGGATACAGATGGTTCTGCCTCGTGGGAGTCCGGGTATCCCTGCAACATGAGCTATGTCAGCTGTAGTCTAAACTCCTAGTATCCTCCCTAAAAACTCCCATGATAGTCCCCTACAAAATCCCCTGTATAGCCCCTTTTTAAGAAGTTCAGACCCTAAACCCTAAACCCTATATAATCCCTTGTATTACCTGCTTTAAGGAGTTTAGGTTATGGCTCATGTATGAAAAAACCCGGCTGTGCCTGAAGACGACCTGAAGCCACTCCCTTATGCTACGGTGCTGCTACAGCTCACTGAGAAGCAGGGTTGAGGGTTTAGGTTAAGGCTCTGCAGGTTGAGCAGAACTGACCAGATTTCAGTTTTTCCCATTCAGATTAGACTCCGACCTACGCAGCAGCTACTGCCACCTATCAACTCACTGATGGTGGGCGGCTTATAAAGTGACCCCCTGCCTAATCCTGAAGAGGAACCTCTACTTTCCCTGAACTCCCAAAATCCCTGGGGTCCAAAAAGGGCCTTTCTTTTGAGGATCCCCCTCATAGCGTATGAAACCCTTGGCCCGTCATACTTGAAGCTATAAGACAAAGTGCACAAGAAGCCACATGAATCCTTCTTGAAAGTATGAGTGCGGATTGTATTTGTAAAAGGACTTTCGTTTTGAGATGCATCTCTCCTTACTAGTGGTTACGAGGAAATGAAGGTGAATCCGTCCAACGGTCCCTATAATGTCCCCAAGCCGAATCCCTACATTCCATTCCTGCATGCTCGTTTAAATAGCAAGTAATTGATAGCAGCTTTTTCACGCGCGGCATGGTCGAAGGCTGCTGGTGGGGGAGAGAACCCTCCAGAACTAGCATGCAAAATCCTACATCATAAACCCTAAACTACACATAACCTTAAACCCCCACGTGTGACGGGACAGCAATCTTTAGGGGCTGCGTGTATGGCTTGATACTTTGCAGGTTCATAATTAAGAACCTCTAAGTAGGGTCCTTCAAGTCATAACTGAAACTGTCCCGGTTCGACCCCCCGGGACTCCCCCCCACCCCCCAGTTTGACCCCTCTGCGAAGCTTCGAGTGCTAAAGCCGCGAAGAACAAGTATGCTCATATGCTATCCTGTCAAATACCTCAATGTGCATCAGAAATACAGTGCGTGGTATCCGACAACCTTACTGATTGTGCTTCAACATGGTATGGCTTTGATCATGGTATGGAGGGATTTGTTCAGGATGAGGCCACAACGGTCGCAACCCGACGAAATCACATAGTTTAGTCCCCAGTGTAAGGTGCGGAACACAGAGTGCTAACAAATCCCTGTCTAGGCGTCAGGTTTGGAGGCAGCTGGGCTTGAATTTGGAGCTGCCTTTTTTGCAGAGGCTGGTGGCAGCACCGGATTCTGCATGAAGCTCTTGGCATTCACGGCGCCTTATTGTTTGTTTTTTCCACAGGGGAGCTAGAGCATTCTCCTCTTGGAGCGCACAACTTCTGCCAATGATGAAAACGAACAACTGAAAACGATTCACGCAACAATGGGACACATAGGTGCATATACTGTGTTTCTGAAAAGGAACTTAACTTACAACACCACACCATAATATGGGTATACAGTGAATAAATGGGTTTCCGTAGTATTGCCATTAAAAAGTTCTGCAACAGCAACCCAGTATACAGCATACGCTGCGTCCCCGCAGTTCCGGTACAGGAACCCCTGTGGTGCCAAAAGGAAATACGATATCTGGACCCCAACCCAAACCCTATACCCCAAAACCTACACCCAAAAACCTGGACCCCAAACCCTATACTGAACCCAGACCTTAAACTCTATAACTGGCCCCTTTGACCTTAGTTGGGCCAGCCAGGTTGCTCATGATTTTCTGGGAGGCCTCTGGCCCCATCTGCAGCCAAGCCTCATGGAGATTTAGGGTCGTTTTTTCGGTATTTAGGGTATTTAGGGTGTAGGGTTTACGATTTAGGGCTTAGGGTTTAGGGTGTAGGGTTTGGGGTTATCTTGGTTTTGTGCGGCTCCTAGGTCCTAGGTTCCCGTGACAGGGTTGAAGGGATGTATGGGGTTCAGTGTAGACATTGACCTGGCCCTTTGACGCCAGGGATGAAAAGGTACTTGGCGCCTCAGGACTATGATCTTGTGTGCTGGGCCCCCCACCCCTTTGAAATGTTGGCAGACATGATCCTCTTCTGCGGGGTTGATTAGTCTGACAGATCAATACCCAAAAGGTTTGACAACTCAAGAAAACCTCAGTCTCAGCTTTAAATAGGAAATGCGTTTTCTGCGTAAATTCGTGACAGGGTCTTTTGCATGCATCGTCTTACAATACTTGCCTCGTGAATTTCCATGGCATGCCAATTTCTTGTGGCAGTCACAGCAATCAACAACGTCATCAGCCTGTCGGACTTTCTCAAAGTGGGGGGGGGCATGAGTACTCTTAGCGGGACCCAAGCGATACATGTGTAATGTTGGGGGATTCAGGGTCCCTTTTCATGAGGCTTGGGAGAAATCCCATCCTCCAGTACTAAACACCCCCACACCCCAAGGATTAGATATCGCTTCCCAAAAACCCAAATGGTATGGGGAGGAAGATTGAGCATTAGCGGGATGAGGGGTGGCTCAACATAATGGGGAACCCAGTCTTAGAGAAAGTGCCCTACCTGAGACTTCCTAATAGTCTCTATTTGGGAACGGAAATTCAGGCCAAGCCCCCCATATATTTCATGCGTGTGGTGTCGTGAACACATCAAGGCCTGCCTTACCCACTCAAACCTTTAAGCTAAGCTCTATGTACAAAGGAGCATGGGCCGTAAGGACTTGCATAAAGGATTTCTTGGGACCCTAAAGCCCAAACCCCAATATAACCCGAATATATGGGGCAAATGTAAATAGGGACCTGCATTATAGGAGGAGCTCCACTATGGGAACCTGTATTACGATTCTAGGAGGAGCTCCACTATGGGAACCTGTATTACGATGAATTTAGGGAAGTCCCCATGTGGGTTCCTGCCAAAGCCACACGCCCAACGTATACTAAACCTTCAGTCCCTGGCGGAAAAGCAACTCTATATATAGATAATATATTACATATTGTATCATACAATAATATATGATATATGTACTATATATAGTTTTCTATATAGGAACAAGATATCATATATATAAATATATTACATTATACAGTCAGTAAATACTGCCAGCCTGAACGGCACGGACAGCTGCAGTCAGCACAGGTTTGAGTAAAGCCTCTTCATCTTCCGTGAAATCTCCAGTGACGAATTCCTTGGAGTTTTTGCCTCCAATGCCAATTCGCAGGCGGTGGTAGGCCTGCCCACATGGAAAGGTCGACTCAATACCCTCCAGGCCCTTGTGACCTGCAGGGCAGTTCTTCGCGGAGTTCAGGGTTAGGATGTAGGGTTTAGAGGGTTCGAGGGTTTAGGGCCTAAAAGTTTCAGAGCTTGCGGTCTTCCTGCTAGTGGCATGGCACAACGAACAAGTAAGAACATGGTGAATGTGCAAGCCTATTGTATTCTGACCAATTGCATACGAGTTTCTCGAAATCATGGTGCCCTATGGGCCCCCACAATATATATATATATATGT